CGTCAGTCAAGTTTCATTCAATATATTCAAGAATTCATTCCATATATTCAAAGATTCATTCAATATATTCAAAGATTCTAACTATCTAACTAGTCAATGTGTAGATTATTAGTTATTTTTTTATTTCTATGTCAGACAAAAAAAAGAATATGGTGTCAAAGGATGTTCCAAAACATTGTGTCAGTATAAGTGTCTGTGTCTTTTACTGAATGTTATGTATTTTCTTTTGTTATTCCTTCTCTATAATAGTCCATGGTCTTGCTGCTGCACAGCCAGCACCAGTATATTTTCGACTATGACTCAGGAGATCGTCTGTCAGCGGTTACCATGCCCAGCGTGGCTCGACACACCATGCAGACCATCAGATCCATAGGTTATTACAGGAACATCTACACCCCTCCAGAGAGCAACGCCTCTGTTACTGTGGACTACTCTGAAGAGGGACAGGTGTGTGCGTGTAATAAGACTGGTCAATTCTGATAGGTTGACTTAAACAGTTGACAGCCATGATGAATCATTTGTATGAAAAGTTAATCTGAACATCATTTCAATAATGTTTTGCTTTTTTACTCTCCAGCTCCTCAGAGTGGCCCATCTAGGCACTGGCCGCCGCATACTGTACAAATATCGCAGACAGGTATATGATTAATTATTAATTACAATTAATTATAAAAACAAGAGCTATGTCAATGTATGGTTTGTACAAGTACACATGTAGTTTACAACTAAGAAAGAGAATAGATGGAAAGGAGGTTTATTTTACCATCAAGGCTCTGTTTCATGTAATTGAAAGCCATGGCAAGGAGAGATCAATACAGCCCGTAAATGGGGAACCATGAAAAAAGAGTCAGGGTGGCGATGTGGTGTTTGACAGCTTGAATAGAATATTCAAGAGTTGATGGCAGTCCATTATAATAAACACATACTGTACTGTTTCATTTGTCTCATCAGAACAAGCTGGCAGAGATCCTCTATGACTCAACACGGGTCAGCTTCACGTACGATGAGACCGCTGGCGTTCTTAAGACCGTCAACCTGCAGAGCGAAGGCTTCATCTGTTCCATCCGGTATCGCCAGATCGGCCCACTGGTTGACCGGCAAATATTCCGCTTCAGCGAGGACGGGATGGTGAATGCACGATTTGACTACACGTATGACAACAGCTTCAGAGTCACCAGCATGCAGGCTGTTATCAATGAGACGCCGCTGCCAATCGATCTCTATCAGTTTGATGATATATCCGGGAAGGTGGAGCAGTTTGGGAAGTTTGGAGTCATCTATTATGACATCAATCAGGTAAGACAGGATTGGCTGCATTGATTTAAATTGTCCCTAAATGATGAATAAGTAAGAAAAAGCAACTGATACATCTTGATAAGGTGGATCAATCCTTGAAGTTAGAGGTGATACTTGATATTAATTAGGCATTTAAAGGGACAGACGGTAATACCGGTAACATCAGTGGTCCCCAACCTTTTTCTATAAGGGACCCCCTTTTCTATTGTGACATTTGATGTATAATTTCTTCTACATTCAAAACAATGAACCCAAATAGTGAATTCAGTAACTGCAAGAAGTTTGTGTAAAACGAGAGATTTGGATGAATTTTGAGGAGATCAAAGTTTAGGGAACTTCGTCTGTATTATATATATATTTATCATCTTTAACAATTATACAGACACATTGCAGCTGACCCTGTGCTCTTTTTTGTCTGGCCTCTGATTGTAAAAGTTTGTCCAATTGATCAGTTTGATTGCTCTTATTTTGAGATTCTTGATAAACGCGGGCCCTAAGCTATTGATTTTGTGACATACAAGTGGGATCGTCAATGTGCGTAGCAAAAAACACTCCCTGTATGGCACCTGTTTAAGTGTTTATGTCCTGTCTTGTTTTGTCCTTGCCGAGAGAGACGTAAGTCTCTGTGTTGAAGTCTGACCAGCAGGGTTTTTTGTCAGTGTAGAAAGTAAACTGTTGATTTTCTGAACTTGTCTTCCCTCTGTCTCAGATTATCTCCACAGCAGTGATGACCTATACCAAACACTTTGATCAGCACGGCCGCATCAAGGAGATCCAGTATGAGATCTTCAGGTCTCTAATGTACTGGATAACCATTCAGTACGACAACATGGGCAGAGTTACCAAGCGCGAGATCAAAATTGGACCATTCGCCAACACAACCAAATATGGTTACGAGTATGACGTAGATGGACAGTTGCAAACTGTCTCCCTCAATGAGAAGATGATGTGGAGGTAGGATTGCCACATCATACTGAAACAAACGCACAATTATTTGATGCAATACAAATGTTGATAGTATCATTTTCTACCACTCCAGGTATAATTATGATCTAAATGGTAACCTGCATTTGCTGAACCCTGGGAACAGTGGTCGGTTAACCCCTTTACGCTACGATCTGAGGGACAGAATCACTCGTTTGGGAGATGTCCAGTACAGGCTGGATGAAGACGGTTTCCTGAGACAAAGAGGAGCCGAGATATTTGAATACAACTCAAAAGGTGCGAATTAGTACTTGCATTCAGTGCACTCAGGTTTGGTGGCCCAACCTAGCAGTATAATGGTGCAGTTACATCAGAAAGTGGCACAGTGAAGTTGATCAGTGCATCCTTATGAAATAGGCCGTGCTAGAGGCTTGGTGACGTAGTGACTACTAGCAACTGAGAACATGGTAGTGCTAGTCAGTCACAATGATGGCCACACTAGCTTTGTAGCTAATAGGACAACTGCCATTCTTGCATTGACTGCTTACTAGCATAGTTAGCATGCTTTGTTGCAAAGTGACGGCTGATGTTGTATTCTCTAAAAACTGCAACAGTTTCCTGGCATATCAGACATACAGCCGTTGATCGGACATCAGTAAAAAAATATTTTGCTGTCCACTCCTGATTAAACACTCACTGTCCACTTTTCTTTTCTTTGGTCCGCTCATTTTTACAGAAGGGCTCAATATGCAATGTGTAAAAGTGAAGCTGAGAGTAATGCTGCATTCATGTGCTTTTGGAAACAAGTCCAGAGTTAAATCGGGAAAGTCATATTTGTCATCTAAATGGCAGCAAACAATCTTTTGTGATTTAAAAAAACCTTGCCGCCAAAATGACCGAATGTTTATTTAGGATAATCCAAGGAGCACCTGAATGCAGCACAATACACCACACTCCAACAAGGGTCATTGGGCGCCATCTAATGGAAAACGTAGTAATTGCAGGGATGTCAAAATGAATGTGATTTAATATGATCAAATTTAATAATATAGTTTGAACAAGTCAGGCGGGCCGGATTAAAAAGCTTAACGAGCCGTATATGGCCCGCGGGTCCTAGTTTGCCCATATCTAGGCTAACCTCTTTAGCAGTCAAGTGGGCGCAATCAGTCAGTTCTCACACACGTTGTCACACACACATTTAAAGGGGAACTTGACAACTCTAGCCATTTCTTCGCTGGTTTTCACTTTTGTCATCGCATGTTTTCTCAACGAGCTCCCCCTACAGCTCTGGGACGTGTATTTCACAACA